CCCCAAAACCCCAAAACCCCAAAACCCCAAAACCCCAAAACCCCGGAGTTTGCTCAGTAAATTGAGATTTTATGAAATGTATTATAAGCTATACTCACTAGAGGCTAGGCTAAAGCATGAAAATTTGTCAAAATTTCCAAATCCAGCCTCTTCCTATCAAATCCGCTGAAACTCTACCTTCGCACCCCATTAGGCTAATTAGCAAGCATTGGGACTAGAACCATGACTGAACTACCATCAAAGGTATAAAAACTCTCTTCAAATTATTGGGTTCACCTAACTACAATTTTGTTTGTTTACTAAATATCTTAGAAGAATTACAGAAAATAAGTGCAGAGGCTCCCAGCCACGGCCAAGGTGGCGAAAGCCGGCATCACTCCACTAGATTCTTGGGAGGAGCCATCTGATGTTATGGGACTGGCCGTATGTGCTAATGAAAGGTTCCTCCCATTTCCTAAAGTTGAAGCCAAGTCAGCGATTCCACTATCAAAGGAAGCGCTGGCTGCGTTGTTGAATCTTGCAAAACATCTGACATACCAGGTCTCTGTCTGGTTTGGCATGTATACAGAGGCCGCAAGTTGGGTTGGAGTCAACCCACTGAAGAAGTGGGAGACGGTCTTTGCAGTCGAGTTGTTGACGTTGACTCCGAAAGGATATGTCACCGCCATTAGTGAAGCTTGGGCAGACACCACGTGAGCTGTTGTTTGTCCCCAGTTCGCACCAGCATAGAAACTTACTGAATCGTACACTGCACTCAAAGATGTGCAGGTTGAATGACATTTCCATTCAATTGCAAATCCCTTCAAAGTGGTGCTTGCAGTGGTGAGCTGATAGTTGCTAGAACCCACATTGACACAAGCTCCAGAAGCATAGTATCCATTAGCCAATGGAGCAATTGTAGAGCCAAAAGTCAGTCCCAAGGACACATCAGAGTTGCTACTGTTGGCGAAGTTCTGAGAAAAACTGATTGTGAACTTATAGCCTAAAATTTCAGCAAGAGTTGTAGTTGTAGCTGCAATAGTGATTGCAACAGCCATGGCTAGCGTAATGAGAGTCTTCATTAACATTATTTAATTATGAAATCTCAAGGATCGCTTCCTTATAGGGGTTTTGGGGTTTTGGGGTTTTGGGGTTTTGGGGTTTTGGGG